TGGTTTTGCATTTCATTGTTCCCGACCTGTTGATAACGCAGCATGTTATAAATCTCGTCTTTCATTAGGATAAGAATCTACCAAGGAAACGGGAGTAGTATCTACGACAGGTATCGACCGCACTTCTTTTACCTAAAAAATAAAGGTCTAATTGGAAGGGCTGGTCCAGCGCCTAGCTGTGCCTGGCCCGGGATGCGCAGCCCGTCTGCACGCTGGAGATGGGCAGAGTGGACGGAGGCTCTCAGGTCTCAGGCAGCCCGTTCCTCCTCACCCAGCCGCACCCACATCAGGCTCATCATTAACGAACAGGCCACAGTGGCTGGGTTTTCTGCAAAGCAACCTCGTTGGACTCGGGAATTTAAACACTGAAAACTGGACAGACTCTTTGATCCCCACCTATTCTTCTGACGTGTTTGTAAGAGAGCAAACAAATATGATCAATATTCCTAGGAATGACAAACATTCAAAATAGAAAAAATGCTCGGCTCTGAGCCCAGACACAGGGTTCTGTCTCCCCTTGAAGTCTGATCTCTCTAACTCGCCGTTAACCGTCTGTCTCCGTCGGGTTCTGCAGTCCCAGCTCTTGGCGGCTGCCACCCAGCTGCCCACACCTGTGGGAGAGCCATGCGGCCTCCCAGTGCCCAGCTTACCTTCCCTGAGAGCCTTTCCTGCCTCCCCATCCTGGTGGTCCTCTCGAGAGGTAATGAATACCTCGCACTCTGCAGAGTGGAGCGTAGGGTGACAGCTGCTCCGCTTGCTCACAGAAGCAGAAGCTTGCAAGCCGTCTCTGACCTGGGGGGACCCGTTCCCTTGGCAGACTTGCCAGGCGCTCCCCTGCCCTGGTGGAGGTCAGCCTCCAGATTGGACCCATCTTAGGGTGAAGGGATCTATTCCTAGTTTAAAAGTGTCCAGAGAAGAAGTTCCAAAGCGTTCTCTGACGGTTTTTTTTTTATGTTGAGCAGCGTAGCTCTTGGACAGATATCTTAGGAATGAAGAGGAGGCTGAGCAGCTTGCCAGATGCACTGAGCCTAAAGAGACTCCATCCCTGCGGGGGCCAGCATGGCCACACAGCAGTCAGAAGAGCTGAAGGATTGTCTGCAACACAAGGCTGAAAGAAACCTGGCTTTTCTGTGATCCCCAAATTCTATCAGGGCAAAGCCGAGCTATAAAACCTCACCACTTCCTCTGTCTCCAGCTAGCTGCTGACTTCCTGTTCAAGTGGAGGCTTGAACATGCGCGTCTTCTGGGTTTTGGCTTCAAATATGTAGAAGTGTTCGGAAAATAAACAAGAAACACATCGTTGCATTTCACAACAAGAGCAGGGTCTTCACCTGCCTGGTGTGGGAAGAGCAAGGAGAGACCTGCCCAGGAAGCCAGGCTGAATCCCTGGGCCCTCTGGGCACATAGGCCAAAGTCGGGCTCAACAGGAAGGCTGGCGTGCTGGTGTCCAGGAGAGGCCAGAGGCTGATCAAGGGACCCTCCCCTAAAACCTGGGCACAGGGCTCTGGCCCAAATGGCCACGTGAGACCTGGTTGAGAGCCACTATCCAGACAGCGTTGCCAGACTGCCCAATGCCATCTCAAGCACATGGCTGAGAGTCTCTCATGACCAGGACACTGTGACATGCTAAGGACCAAGTCCCCACAGAACCATGTCCTGATGCAGGAGAACAGCTCATGAAAACTGAGCCTCAGAGAACTCAAATCAATAGGGAAAACAGAAAATGGCATCTCAGGTTTTTAAAAGAATTATCGATGTGATTAAGGAGACTGAAACTATAAAATAATTAGAGTAGAGGATCTTGAGAAGAGCTAATTAGGAAATCTAGAAATATAAGTATTTAAAAACCCAGCCACTGGGTGAGAAGGGTCCAGGCAGGCAGGAGGAGATGCGGGCACCTGGGAGACTGACCCGGAGGGGCCTGCAGAGAACACGGGAGAGATGTCAAGGTCGGCTCCTGCAGGCAGCTGGGACTCTGGAAGCAGGGCCAGGAGGACGGAGCAGCGGCGAGGGATGAGGTCCTTGTCGGGAACGTTGCTGACGGGCAGGTGGCCATTCTTGGGCCCAGAATGGCCATAATTAACCTATAACCAGGACTGGAAGGCAAAGTGCAGCAGCCACCTTTTCAGACGGAACCTCAGGACGCCTCAGGTGTGAGAGGCTGCCCTTCCTCCCAGCTCTCCTGCCCAGGGCCCTGGGCGCAGCAGGCCCAGGACTCGGTGAGCACACTGCAGCCCCCGCCCCCTCGCCCGCCATCCTCCCCAATGTCCTCTTATCCCCTTTATCTCGCCATTGGGTTCTTTCCTCCAGGAGGCCTCCCCAGAACCCCTCCCACTTCCTCCATCCCTGGTCCCCTAAACCGTCAGCCCCGTGGCTCTCCCTGCCCCGAGCTCCATCACTGCTGTGTCCTGGGCTTCCCTGGGCTTTGGTTGCCAGGGCTCCTGAGCCGGTGCAGCAGGCGTGAGTCTCTCCACTGGGGGTCTTCAGGGTCATGTGGTCTGTGGAACGTGCATCACTTGTGCCTGCCGTCCCTCGAGGGCCTTGGGGGCTGTGTGGACTGAAGCCAGGGTGTTAGCTGGTAGTGGAACGTGGGCATGAGCCACCCAGGGAGGCCCACAGGGAGCGCCTTCAAGAGGCGGAGCTAATTGCTGACACGTTTCTGTCCTAAATGGAGCACTCTTAAAAAAAATATGCCTTTTTTTTTTTTAGCTTTAGGTGGACACAATATCTTTATTTTACTTTTATGTGCTGTGAGGATGGAGCCCAGTGCCTCTCACATGTGAGGCGAGCGCTCTACCTCTGAGCCCCAGCCCCCTAAATGGAGCACTTTGAAGAGCACAAACCACTGCGCCTTCGCCACAGACTGCCCCTGCAATGCTCTGTACATTCTCAAAGTAGCTTTAGAAACCAAGAAAGCCTTTTAAACACATCTGTGAAAAAAGAAATTTAGCAAGTGGATAAATTCCCCTCCACCTCTCATTCCCACGGTGGGTCTTCAGGGAGCCTCACACCGTGTCTTATTCTGCGTGTGAAGACCTCGGCGTGGAGAGCTACAGTCTTCCTGGGGGCGTGAAGTTTAGGAGGTGACATTCAGGTTTTAGTGGTTATTTGTCTTGTGACCACATGTGGTGTCTGGGAAGTGTCCATAGCTCTTAGTTGCCTGGTCACAGCATAGGAGATTAGATCCCGGGATCCTTAACGTGCTCAGGTCTCACCGTCTTCCCTGAGCAGAGCTCCTGGTTCAGCCGAGCCTTCCCAGGGCTGCTTCAGTGGCACAGGGAAAGCGCTTGGCTGGCTTCCACATCGTGTGCAGCACCTGGACCACCCCACAGGTGCGCCTGTCCCAGTGAGGCCACCTTGAATTACATCATTCTGCACCTTTCAAAAGACTTTGTATCCAATGAGCCTATTTGACAGTCAAGAAATCAATCAAAGCATAAAGGAAAACATGGCTTTTCGGGTAACTTCAATAAACGGTAACATCCAGAGGCCAAAAGAAAGCAATGGGAGGCGATGAAATAGTCTCAGAAACTTGGGGGATTTGCTGAGCAGACGCGTATTCTGAGCTCATTCCACGATTCCAACAGAACTCCCTGCTAGATTCCCGGCCGACACGGCCTTGAAACCCGAGATTAAAGCAGGCAAAGTGTAGTGCCGAGGACCAGCACCCTGGCAGCCCATGTCGCGGAGGATCACAGAGGAGCCAGGAGCGGACGTCACAGGCAGGGACGCAGTGACCCGAGCCCCTGACGGGTCCCACCCTGACGGCACTCACGGGCCCATGGCAGCACTGCAAAGCCGAGGGCACGGGGACCAGGTCTTGAGGAAAGTGCAGTGACGTTCAGTGTCTTCTATTAAGAGGGCAGGGGGCACAAAAGCTCTCTAGAGGACAGCGTCGGTCAGAAATGGTCACACTGAAGGAGTCTCTGTCAGCAGGCTGTGGGTCAGCTCCTGTCCAGACGGGGTGACGGTGCAGATAGCCGACTCCCAGCCTGCCCGGCTCATCTGGATTCCTGTGCTGGGGGGGAGGCCCCTGGGGAGAGCCCGCGAAGGTGGAGGAAGGGAGCTGGTCAGGTGGACTGTCCTCCAGGTCCGTCTGTTAGCTCGGGCTCCCAGATCCTGCATCTTTTCAAAGCAGATAAACGGGATTGTGTGGCTCTTCTGAGGAGGAGCTAAATCCCAGAAACTTCGCCCTCTGGAGGTGGGGAAGGGCCGCCAGGTCTTCCAAGCCCCGGCAGCCGGTGCCGTTAGCTGAGGATCCCTCTTGGGCAGGTATTAGAGTAGTTCCTTCGCAGCTTATCCCAGGGGCCGCCTGAGCATGGGAGTCGAGATGGGGCAGGGCAGGGTCTGGGAGTTGGCACGCAGGTATCGGGACGGCTATCCTTCTGGACAGGAGGAACCCCCACCCAGAGACTCCAGGGACTAGGAAGCTCACAGAGAGTAAATACCCAAGGAGCATCTATGTGCCTCCACGTTCTCAGAGAGCGCCATGCCGCCTGTGGTTGATGGTCAGTGAGTGTTTGCCGCACAGGCACCTGCACCTGGCCAAGGGCTCCATTCTGACATCTGTGCCTCCCCCTTGCTCAGCCTGGACACCGTCATTGACTCTACCCCCAAATATGGTCATGTATGTATTCAAGTAGGAGTGAGAAGGGGACTGTTCTGATTCATGATGCCTTACCTCACTTTTGGTTTGTTTTGGTTTTTTAGCTGTAGATGGCTACCATGCCTTGATTTTATTTTTTCAATGTGGTGCTAAGGATCGATCCTAGTGCGCCCTTCACGTGAAAGGCGAGTGCTCTCCCACTGAACTACAGCCCAGCCCCTTCACCATAGTTTTTGATAATTTAATTAACAACAACCAGGCCGGCCGTCATTCACCTTCATTTATAGAAACTGTGTTTCACTGTAGATGCTATTTCCGAAAGGCAATCAGGATGTGTTACGGTCCTTTTTTATTGATAAAAAGCAGGTTTGACCCTCTGCCTCCTCTTTTCTAGCGGAAGATAACAGTCTGTCTCAGAAGAAGAAGGTCACGGTGGAAGATCTCTTCAGTGAAGATTTCAAACTCCACGACCCCGAGGCCAAGTGGATAAGCGGTGAGTCTCGAGTCCTCCCTGCTCCGTCCTCCCCCAGTGTCGGGCTCAGGCTGCAGGGCCTGTCCACGGGCAGGGCTTTCCTGTGACAGCAGTGACATCTGAGAACGGTGCCTCTGGAAGGTGGGCTCCTCACGCTGTGCCACCGCCTGTGCTTCATGAGAAACGGGCTGCGAGGCCGCTCCCTCCCTTCTCACAGAGCCGTGGTCTCTCAGGCCGAGATGTGCCGCGTTGCTAGGCAACAGGGCCATGGAGAGCAGCTGAGCTGGCCCCGCGGTGGTCCTGACTCTCTGCTGCTCCTGCTGTCCCTTCTCTGAGCAGAGGAACTCGGGAGAGGTGCAGGGAGCCCAGCCCGGTGTGCAGGTGGCACCCATCTGTTTTCCCCTTGAGGTTTAAACCTGATCAAATCTAGTTTTCTTGTTTGAGGGATTTGTTTTTTCAATAGCAAAACAAAGAATTAGGGATGGAAAGCAATATGTTCATATTTTGCTGGAATTGAACGTGATCTTTGTGCCTTATCTGGGCCTGAAACCAGGCGACTGCATCCGTGAGAGCCAGATGTCGATGCCTGTTCACCCTCCCGGCTGCGCCTCTCCTGTTATCACCAGGGCTGTTGTTAGCATTCAGTGGATGCCCTTGAGAGTTAACCCTCGGGTTGGCACACCTTCCCAGTGTAGTGTTCAATGCCTAGTCCACTTCCTGACTTTCAGAATGAATGAGGTCCAGAGAGGGCAAGTCGCTCGTCCAAGGTCACGCAGCAGGTTAGCAGTGAATCTGTGGCTAGAAGTCCACCTCCTGGACTTGCAGTTTTGCTCTCTTTCCCTGTGCTCTCTGGGAGAGTGACTCGTGTGCTTGTGTGTTGTGCAGTCAAAGTACCTCTAAGACGTTCCTCATGCTCCCAGACTCTGAAAAATTAGTTAGTGATGCCTCTTGGCCTCAGCCTCCCACATAGTTATTGCTCCTCTTTGGTCCTCTACGATGACTCAGTGTCCATTCTGACCCTTGGATGTGCTTATTTAGCTTGAAAGCACAGGTGGCTCTTGGAAGGAATGCATTTTATCAAACCCAGGAGAACTGAGAGCCATGGGTCGTGAATGTGGGTGGAGGCCCCCAGAGAGCCCAACGAGGCGAGAGGAGCCCTGGCTTGGCGCCCACTGTATGCTGTGCTGCCCGTAGCACAGGCACCTTGAGCACCTGGGGCATGCCCTGGGCCAGGTCTCGGGGATGAAACGTGGTCACTGTCCTTAAGGAGCCAGAAGTCGCCTTCTGGAGCACCCATGTGATCTCACGTGCAGGAGGCAGGAGAGCGAGATCTCATTCTTCCTGAGAAGGCATTTCAGGGATGGCGTGAGCTGAAGAGTGGTCAGCCTGGCTGGGGAAGCTGAGAGCAGGCCCCGTAAAGCCAAAGTCTAGACAGCTGGCCCCCGTGACGAGGAGAGCCCAGGGGGGCTGAGAGACGACGCGCAGGGCTGAAAGAGAACAAGGAAACCAAAGTGGGCGGCGAGGCAGACTCTGGGGGAAACCCAGGGCCAGAAATGAGGCCGACAGCCAGGCCCCAGGGTCAGGCGGCTGCAGGAGGCTGGGCAGATCCACAGGGGCCCACACAACCCAGCTCCGTGTTTTTTGTTGGAATCACATGGTTTGAGACTTGACCTGAATCCACCCTCTATATAAAAAAACAAAACACAGCACGAACCCCCCAGGCAGAGGTGTGGAGGCCCAGGACAGAGGCGTGCCCTCCCCGGTGGGCACTGTGTCCCTTAACCGTACAAGGGGCTTGCGTTTCATGAGTGAGTGATGGACCTGGCCCAGAGGTGCCCTGGAGGGAGCTGGCAGAATTCCCTTCTACCTCCAGAGTTGGGGGTTAACAGCAGCAATAGTCTGTGCCCCCGTGCCCGCAGGGTGCCCAGCCTGCCTTTCTGGGCAGGTCCGACCCGGGACACAGCCCCTGCACTTCCCCGTGGATAGCCTGCCATGTCCGGGGGCTTCCTCAGGATGGCTCCTCCTTTGTAAAGTGCACAGTGCGGTCAAGTTTGCTGTGAAGGAACCAGAGGCCCGGCCTTCCCAAAGAGCAGCCCCTTTGGAGAGTATCCGAGATAAATGGGTCTCCTTTCCCCACTGCCCGATTTTTCTTTCACTCACTCATCCCTCCTCCTGAGCATTCCATCTCTTCCTCCTTGACAAGTGTATAGTGGTTTAAGGTAAATGAAGTAGCCCTCTTCCCCATCGTCACTGTCACCATCATCTGTACCATCCGCTGTGGGCCGTGCCCCACCTTCCAGGCTCAGCCCTTTGTGGACACAAGGCCATTGAGTTCTCACTACCACGCTTATCCCACGGTACAGGAAGTGGAGGCTGCCGTGCTTCCAGAACTGGGTCAACGTCACACAGTTGGAAAGTCACAGAATCGGACTGGAACCCAGTCCCTTCCCCAGCCAATTCCTTTTGCCGCCCCACTAGCTCCCTCGTGTGTGCACCAAGACCATGGGTGTGAGCATCCCAGAACATCGCCACCCAGTACCTCCTTTACTCTCCGTGCCCCCTCTGATGCCCACACCAGCAGCAAATCCCAAGTGGTCAAGGAAGCCCAGCAGTCGTTGCAAGAGGGCCATGTCTTCAGTGTGTGTCCGCCACCACCTTGAACAGGGGCAGCCTGGGCTTCGTCTCGGGGTTCACTGGTCCAGAGTCGACCCACTTTGTTCACCAGGGGCCCGTGCGTGTGTTGGGCTGAGTTAAGAGCCCCTCCCTCGTTTTAATATGATGGGCTCATTTGTTAAATCTACATCTTCTGAAACTGATTGGCACAGCAGCCTTGAAATTCTTTAACGACCTAAAACCCTGGAGACTCCCCTCACGCGGTTGCCACAGCCCTGGGGCCTACAGAGCACTGCCAACACTCCCTGTCCCCCTTTCAGCCTCCTCCCCAGCTGAACCTACCAGAAAAGAGCTCGGGAACCCCCCAGCCCACCCCTCCATCTCTCCCTCCTGCCACCTGCCCAGCCGCAGCCATGGGTGGCCTGATCCCACCTGCTGCAGCTGGGGAACCCCAGGTGAACTGGCTTCACTTCCTGACGAGTAGCTGCAGCCTGCGTCTCTTTTCTCCCCTGAATTCCTAAACGTTTCTATTATTATTTTTTTGCTCTGTATTAGATTATTTCCTCCAGTGCTGGGGATTGAACCCAGGGGGGCTCCACTACTCAGCTACATCCCCAGTCCTTTTATTTGTTTATTTTTTGAGATAGGGTCTCATTAAGTGGATGAGGCTGGCCTTGAACTTGTGAGCCTCCTGCCTCAGCCTCCCAAAACGCTGGGATTACAGGCACCACCTAGATTATCGTGATTTGAAAGAAGCGTGCTCTCATTTTTCTTACCTTAAACACACACCCCAGCTGAGTGTGGTTCCCACCAGGCTCTGCCTGCCCCCTCTGCTCCCTTTGGCAGCTTGAAGCGGTTGTCTGTCCTGGCCTCCCCACTCTCCTCTTCCCTTTAAGCCACTCCAGTCGGGCCTCCCTGAAACCCCCCCTCACCGGAATCCTGGCTATCCCCCAGGTGGCCGGGTTCAGTGGTCATTTCTCAGACCTCCTAGTTGAGCACCAGCAGCACTGGACGAAACGATTCCCCTGTCCCCTTCGCAACCCTTCTCTGGTGGCTTGAGGCCATCACGTCCCAGGTTCCGTCTCTGAGTCCTGGTGGACCCTCGCAGGCCCTGGGGCTGGCTCCCGTTGTCCTGCTCTGCTCACGTTGGTGGCCTGGGCCTGGGCTCCGGTGTCCCCCTTTCTGTCTGCCCTCTGGCTCTCAGTCTCCTGGTCTTGGACGGTCTCCCACTCTGACATCTCACTGTGCGTCTGCAGACCAGGCCGCCCTCCCCAGCTTCCCGACTGACCCACAGACATCACAGCTCAACCTTTCTATCTCCAAATCCGAGTCTCAGCTTTCCCTAAGCAAGAAACTCAGGAAGAACTGCCCTGCCCACAGCCCCCTGTGTCTGCCAGGAGGAAAACCCCCTGTTTTCATCGTCAACGTCCATAACCTGACTATTTATACGGCAGAGATCTCTTATTAGCCCTGTCGCAGGCCACAATAGGGAGAAAGCTGTTTCCAGAAAGAGGGAAAGACAGCTTTCCTTCTTCTTTCCGCCGTGAGCCACAGCACCAATCTCCTTCGCGTTAATAGGACCCGTGACTTGCTTAGGTAGCTGCCGCAGCCACCTAGGGAGGCCTCTGGGTGACACCCCAGCAAAGTCTTCTGTTTCTGCCATTAGGAAGGCAGGCTGGGCCCAACCTTGGAGAACCTGATAAGCCCCACGCCCGGGGCTCCCAGCGGGCTGGACCACCTGCATCCTTCAGGAGAAGGCCCTCCCTCTCCCTCAGTATCTCTGGGCTGCCTGGCGGACAGACGCTGATGAGCTTGCCTGCCAGCCCCCAGCAGGGCCCGGCCTCAGTGCCCCTCCCGGCCCACCTCCTCCCTGCAGTCTGTTCAACTGGAGTCCCAACGCGCTGGGAGCCCTGGTGCTGGCCCAGACCTGCCGTCTGTGTGTCCCCTTGTTTCTCACCAGCCCCCACTTGTTAGCACAGAGCCCTCCGAGTCTCGGGATGCAGGACTGGAGAGACTGCAAAATTGGAGAAAATTGCTTCCTTTGAATGTAGGAAAATATCAGCTGGCTGGTTGATACTGGAAAGTGTATGTTTTAGAAGATAAAATTGGAGTTAGTGCACAGGGTTCAAACCAACTTGATTTGCTTTATTCTCTTTTGTTATTTTGAAAAAATAGTATTTTTTTTTTTTTACAAAACTGTGGGGCTCAGTAAAGGGGGAATTTGAGTTTAAAATGTTTGGGTTTTTCTACTGCTATTTTGGAGGCCGCAGTTTTTTATTGGTGCATTGAGCCTTCAAGGGTAGAGTAGAGATGTTCCCTAGAGGCCATCTGGTGCTGTGGTGACCGCGGGTGGTGCCCAGAAAGGGCAGGTTCCACAGGAATAAGTGGCCCTCGGTGGCTCCTGAGCA